CGAACTGGACAATTCTGGAGACAGCTAGGGCGCTGCTCATAGAATCTGGGCTGGGCAACTTGATGTGGCCCCATGCTGTTCGGCACGCTACCGTCGCTAGGAACAGGGTACTCACAAAGGTTGGGGATGACTCGTGGGTGCCGTTGGAGAGGTGGCTTGGGAGGAAGCCGCCGGTGAACATGCTGAGGGTGTTCGGTTGCATGGCAGTCGCCAACGTCCCCAAGACCTACCGCAGTATGTTGGGGGCGAGTGCAATCTGGTGTGTGCATTTGGGGCTGGCTGTTGAGAGCAAGGGATGGCTGCTGTGGGAGCCTTCCAAGGGTGTGTTGTTTGACAGCAGGGATGTGAAGTTTGTTGAGGGCATGATGCATGGGAGCTGGGAGAAACAGCCGGAGGCCAGGGTGTCCCAGAAAATGGAGCAGATCACCATGCAGCTAGACCTGAGTCCTAGTGTGTAGGAGGAGGGAGTGGACGCAGCTGCAGAAGGTGGTGCTGGAGAGAAGGTGCAGGAGGCACCTGCCGGTGAAAACAATGGTGTGGAGACTAGCGGTAGCACTAGTGGAGCTGCTGGATCTGAGGGAGGAGAGCAGCAGCAGGGGAAAACTAAGAAGCCGGAGGGTGTTGTTATGAAGGGGTGGGAGACACCCGTCTCCAGGCCAGGACGTACCCGTATGGCTACTAAGAAGCTGACTGCAGGAGCTGATGTAGCGGAGCAGCAGCTTGGGACCGAGGAGGCATTGCTGATTCTACCGCATGGCTATGACCCGGATGAGGAGGATGGGCCTGCGTACTGTTTTCTTGCCCCTGCACCAGAGGAACCAGCTAGCATGGAGGAGGCATTAGCTGGACCAGATAGGGACAAATGGCTGGCTTCTAGGGATGCTGAGTACCAGAGCCTGCTGGAGAATGGAACTTGGGAACTAGTGGTGCTGCCTGAGGGAAAGAAAGCGGTACAATGCAAGTGGGTGCTAAGGATCAAGACTGACGACAAGGGGCAGGTCACCATCTACAAGAGTAGGTTGGTGGCTAAGGGGTTTATGCAGAAGGAGAAGCGGGACTTCAATGAGATCTTTGCTCCCACTGCCAAACCCCCTACCCTTCGTGTCTTGTTGGCAGATGCAGCCGTTGGTGGGAAGTTCATTATCCAGATGGACATATCAATGGGATTTTAGAGGAGGAGGTGTTCATGACGCAGCCGCCTGGGTATGAGGATGGTACGGGCAGGGTGTGCAAGCTGAAAAAGTCCAACTACGGCTTGAAGCAGGCGCCACGCTGCTGGTACCAGAAGCTGGCAGCTGTTTTAGAGGAGATGGGATTCAAGACCAGCAGCTGTGATGAGAGCCTCTTTCTCAATGGGGAGGGGGAGAAGCTGGTGTTGTTTCTGGTCTACGTGGACGACATTCTTCTCTTCAGCAGCAGCATGAAGGAGATCCGGAAAGTGCAGCAGCAGCTGATGGAGAACTTCAAGTGCAAGAACCTTGGGGAGGTAAAATACTACCTCGGGATGCATGTGGAGAGGGATCCAGATCACAGGTGGTTGAAACTGCACCAGGAGAAGTTCATCAAGGAGCTGGGGGAGAAGTATGGGATTGAGAATGAGCGCAAGGTTGCAACTCCCCTGCCAGCAGAATTCAAGCTTGTGAAAGCTGCAGAGGATGAAGGGGTTGAAGCTGAGGAGCAGCAGCAATTCCAGTCCTTGGTGGGCAGCCTCTTGTATGCAGCTGTTCACACGAGGCCTGACATCTCTTTCTCGGTTGAGCAGCTAGCTAGGGTGGTGCAGAATCCATCAGAGGAGCAGGTGGATGCAGCTGAGCGTGTGGTGAAGTATCAGAACTCTCACCCAAGCATTGGAGTTCAATACTCCGCATCTGCACAGGTGAAGCAGAAAGGGGTTGAGGTGCTGAAAGAGAAGGGGGAGAGGCTTGGAGAAGGCAAGCTCTTTCTCACTTGTTTTACCGATGCAACTTGGGCCTCTGAGAAGGAGGATTCCTCATCTGTGGGAGGATACATCTGCGTGGTTGGGGGAGGACCTGTTAGTTGGAGGTCAAAGAAGCAGACGGAGACAGCACTCTCTTCCGTGGAGTCAGAGTACATGGCAATGTTCCACGGGATGAAGGATGTGATTTAGCTGAGAAGGTTGTTAGAGGAGATTGGTCAGGAGGAGAAGGTTGCTACGCCGCTGTTTTGTGATAGCAAGGGGGCTCTCGGAATGGCCAGGAACGCTGTGCTTCATGGGCTCAATAAGCACATGCGTATCAAGTGGCACTGGCTGCGTAAGGAGGTGAAGAGGGGGACGGTGAATCCGATCTACATCAAGACTCACGAGCAGCCAGCAGACTTCCTCACCAAGAGGCTTGCGGATGAGCCTCATTGGCGTTGTGTGCGCATGAGTAGAATGAGCATAAACTAGCATGGAATGATGGAAATGCAGCCGGCTGGCTGAGGGAAAGTGTGTTGGATACAAATTCAAATTGCACTACATCCTGCCGTCTGTTTGTATGTTTATGCGTGTGCGAATGCATTTGCGTGTGAATGGTATGTTCGTGTGTTTGTTTGCTTTCGCAATTTTCGCTTGAATCATTTGCAGGTACTCGCACAGTGTGCGCTTCAGCACAACATTGTACGCGCTATGAACAGTACAAGCAGAAAGGACGAGCTCGCAAAGGAACCCAAGATGGAAGCTTTGCAGTTCGGCTTACTTGATTGCGCAGATTCAGTTCTATCCAACTCGAAATTGTACTGTTTTGTTTGAATGAGTATAGTGTAGCAGGGCAGGCACTATAGGGGTACAATTTAGGTGAAGGTTGGATGTTGTTTGTCTGTATCTGCATGCTACAGGGCCAGGGGAAACCAGCAGAACCAGCATTTGGCTGGTTGGGCAAAGACAAAACAGGTTCTGTTTTTAGGACCTGAACCTGGTTGTTGTTTTCCCAGGTTGGAAAAACAGAACCAGAGGTTGTTTACCAACCTACCACCTGCTATTTTGTCCAGCCAGGTTGGTTCTGTTGCTTGGAATTATTTGGGATCATCCCTGGTTGTTCCCAGGTTGATTCCCAAGGTCCTTGCTAGCTAGAACTATTTATTCCTTCTCTGGTTGTACCTGAATATAGTGAAATTGATTCAAGCAAATTCCTTCCTTGCTGGAATTTCCTTTCTACGCAGGGCGACGGCGGTATGCTACCCGAGTCAACGCTAGTACGCTAGCACTCCAACACTAGGCAAACGCTGTCCGAGCCATAACTTCGTAATGACAGACGTTTTTGCGAGGCAAGTTGGTTCATTTTAAAGCTCTTGGAGCGAGCTTCGATATAGTAAATTCTCAGCTTAATCCGATCAACGGTCTGCACGATACGCTATGCGACGTTCAAGGTACTCTTGCTGTTTTGACTAAATCCCTCTTGATCCCTCTCTCTACAAACTCGGACCCGAGGATAGGGGCTGGTCTTGTACCAGGCACCCAAGGACCCTTGGAGGTGACCCCAAGGAGAGGTTTTAAGTTTGATAAAGTCTTAATAGCTTGAGTTTATTAGGCCCTTACACCAACACGCGGCCCCGTTGCCGCTCTTCCAGGCCCCTCGAGGCCCCTTCACGGCCCCGTCGCCGCCCTTAACGGCCCCGTCGCCGACCTTTCAGGCCCCTCGCGGCCCCTTCGCGGCCCCGTCGGCGCCCCTAGCGGCCTGTCGCCGCCCTTTCAGGCCCCTCGCGGCCCCTTCGCGGCCCCGTCGCCGCCCCTAGCGGCCCGTCGCCGCCCTTCCAGGCCCCTCGCGGCCCCTTCGCGGCCCCGTCACCGCCTCTATCGGCCCCATCGCCGCCTCCAGCGGCCCTGTCGCTGCCCCTTGCGGCCCCGTCGCCGCCCCTTTCGGCCCTGCCTTGACCCTGCCCTGGCCCCGCCCCGGCCATGCTCTGTCGCCTGTCGCGGCGCACCGGGGGCACGTGCACCGCCCCCCCCCCCTCTTTTCCCGTCGCCCGTCGCGGCTCCCTGGGGGGCTGCGGCGATCTGGGGGGGGGGGGGGGGGGCGGGGCGAGCGTCGCCCCTTCTGCCGCCTGTTTTGGGGCCCTGGGAGGCCGCGCGTCCCCCCCCCCCCGTAACCTCCCTACCCGTCGCCCGGCCTTGCCCTGTGTTAGGGTTTGGGGGTGGCGAGTAGGGGGTGGCGGGTATGTGGTCTCCCCTGCTCCTCCTCCTCCTCTGTCTCCCACTGCTGCAGCTACCGCTGAGGGGGGTGGGTGCGTGGGAGTCGACGGAGTGGTGCTTGGGGGTGGGGTGTGAGTGAACCTAGGGTGCAGCAGGGGGTGTGTGAAAGGGGGGTGCTGTGTTAGTGGAACTAGGGTTTGAGCAGGGGGTGTGTGTCGAGGGGTATGGGGCAGCTGGAGGAGGTTGTGTGAAGGTAGCTGTCGTGTTGCTTGCAGCGCCTGTAGTCCGTAGCCCTTGCTTTGGTAGCCAGTGAGCCTGTTGCACCAGTCGCCAGTAGGTCCGTTGCTCCTGCCGCTCGTCTATAGCCGCGGAGCCAATTACTCCAGTAGTCCGTCGCCCTTGCTTCGGTAGCCACTGAGTCAGCCGCTCCTGTGCCCGTGCCTCTGCAGCTTCAGTCGTTGCCTCCCATCTTCTCTCCCTCCACAGTTTCTCCTCCTCACTTGCCCGCTGTGATTAACTCTAGCTTTGCTCCCTATTGTGAACTCCTGCTCTATGCCTGCTTGCTCATTGTGTTGATTACACCCCATCCTGGCTATGGGGGTGTGTCAGAATGTTATAATTATCTAGCCTGCAGTGGGGTATTCTATAGCGAGTACAACCCAATTAGGGTTTCCTATATGTATGCCAAATGCTGCTAGTGCAACCCCTCTCTTCTTCACTCCTCATTCTTTCACACCCTCCCAGCCACCCCCTGCTTTGCGCATCCCTACTAGAGTAGAGCGCTCCCCTGCCATAAAATCGCGTGTCCCAGCCAGAGCAGCATGCGCCCCAGCCAAAGCAAGACACGCCGCAGCACCGCGCGCCCCAGCTAGAGCAGCTCGCACCCCAGCCAGAAAAGTGTGCGCCCCAGCGAGAGCACCGCCCGCACCCCATCCAGAGCAGCTCGCGCCCCAGCCAGAGCAATGCGTGCCCCAGCCAGAGCAATTCGCGCCCCAGCCAGAGCAATGCGCGCCCCAGCCAGAGCAGCGCATGCCCCTTCCCTGGCCATCGCGCGCCCTTTGCCTAGCCTGTGCGCACACCCCTAACTGACCGGCGCGCACACCAGCTAGACCAACGCGCGCACCTTCCCAACCACCCACAGCCCTTTTCGAATTGGCCACAGCGAGTAGCCGCCCACAAGGGCAAACAGCCAACTGTAGCTAGCCATACCACCCTCCCAGCCGCCATAGTGCACCACACCCGCCACTGCGACAGCACACATCCGCGCCTTACCTACCTTCGCCTTGCCCTTGCAGCCGCCAGGCGTGCCCATTGTCTCCAACACGCCTATTGCCATAGGCATCTCTAGCGGCGGCTGGCAGTCACATTTACTTATTGGTGCAGATTGGGGTTAGTACCATGACGTTACTGGCTTTCCTAGCTCCAGCCAAACCTGGTCCAGTAGTTTCTAGCTCCAACCATTTATAGCTCTAGCCTAAAGTTCCTTATGTGCTAAGAACATAAGGAACGGCAGAGGCGTTCTCAGCAGCAGTGGCGCCCTCAGCAGCAGAGGCGTTCTCAGCAGCAGTGGCGCCCTCAGCAGCAGTGGGGGCTTGGTGGTCTAGGGAGCGTCTGCCCATACAGCTTGAGGGGTATTTGTGGTGGCCGCGACATTGGACCCTGCGAGTATAGGATCCTGACTGGCCCTCGTGCTGGCAGTATTTGCTGGCGTCCTGACCACTTTGCACTGCGCTGCTACAGCCGCCTCGACGACCTTTACCGTGAGTGTTTTGGGCCTGATTTGGCTCCCCCGATCTGGCATTGGCTGACTCGTACTGGTTACCATGTTTTTTATATATCTAGGATGCTGTTTATTCTGTCACGTATGGATCTCTTGGCATGCGTGCACCCATCTTAGGACCTTTGTATGTTGCTATAGTAAGTGCTTCTGTTTCTATTGTAGGTGCTTGTGTAGTTACTAGTCCAGTTGTGAAAACTGCTAACGCGTCACTCTCCTTCACACTGGACTTTGGCGCATCTCAGTGCTTCTTCCACAAAAACACCACTATCACACCTCTTCCTGCTCCAGTCCCGATTGCCCTGGTTGATCCTACTTCAGGACCAGCTGTCGCTCGCAGTTCTACCACCCTCCGTGCCCGGCTGTCCTCTCTGGTTTCCTCGCTGGTCTCTAAATTCCCTCGTTTTCTTGGAATTTGGTGGGTGTTGGATATCTTCAGGACCAAGGGATCACATTTACTGTTCCAGTGCACGGCATGACTTCTATCTTTACGGACGCTTCCACCGGGCCAGTTCTTGCCACGTTCACTAGAGAGCTCCACTCATGTCTCTTCGTCTTGCACACTGAGCCGCCCCAGGTAGCTGCGTCTGGTCAAGTTACTACGCCTATTCAAGTAGCTGCCTCAGGTCGGGTTGCTGCGTTGTGCTCCTGTCGGTCCCTCACCCACCCGACAGTCCTGTGGCACCACCGTATTGGTCACTCGTCCCTCCCATACCTCCACAGTATGGCTAGCCAGCGTCTTGTCTCAGGTCTCCCGCATGTCTTTGCGTCGCTCCCTCCTTCGCCTGCGCTATCGTGCACTCCCTGCGTCGAGGGTCGGCTTGTCAAACTATGATTGTTATAGTTTGTTGATTTAGTCTAGGTGTTCTACATCGAGCTACATTTTGTCCTAGCAATACGGTTAGGGTTTGCTATATCAACCCTTGTATGCCCTTGATTTCATCATTCATTCATTAGTTGTTACTTTGACATGGCATAGAGTGATGAGATCCTATGGACCCATCGCCCCGTACCCTGACCTAGCCCGTAGTGCCTCGTCACCCATAGCGCCACGTCATCCACAGCACCTAGTCACCCGTAGCGCCCTCTCGTCAATCCTGTCAGCCCGCTAGCCTAGCCCGTCACCCGTCACGACCGGCCGCCGCGGGCACGTTAGATCGCGCCCCCGTCGCCCTCCGCATCGCGACCCCGTCACCCCCCGTCCCCTCCCCGTCGCCCCCCCCGTCGCCTCCGGTCCCCTTCCCGTTGCATTCCCATCTTCTCCCGTCCCATCCCCGTCGCATCCCCGTAACCTCCCGTCCCCTCCCCGTTGCGTCCCTGTTGCCCTCCACGTCGCGTCCCCGTCGCCCTCCGCGTCGTGCCCCCCGTCACCACCCGTCCCCTCCCCGTCGCATCCCCGTCGCCGACCGCATCGCGTCCCCGTCGCCCGCCGCGTCGCAACCCCGTCACCTCCCGTCCCCTCCCCGTCGTGTCCCTGTCGCCCTCTGCGTCGCGTCCCCGTCGCCCTCGGGTTCCCATCCCTGTCTCCCCCCGTCCCGATCCCGTCACCTCCCTGCACGTTGTGCCCACAGCCCCACCTAAAACCAGCCGCTAGAAACACCCCAACAGCACCAGCAACTGCGAGGAACGCCCCAGCAGTATCAATAGCTACTAGAAACGTGCCAGCAGCCCCATCTGTCCCGCCCCATCCTGGGCCCGCCGCCCCAATCTGTACCTGACACCCAGAGCCGCCCAAAACCGGCCAGGACTGTTGGTGTAAGGGCCTAATAAACTCAAGCTATTAAGACTTTATCAAACTTAAAACCTCTCCTCGGGGTCACCTCCAAGGGTCCTTGGGTGCCTGGTACAAGACCAGCCCCTATCCTCGGGTCCGAGTTTGTAGAGAGAGGGATCAAGAGGGATTTAGTCAAAACAGCAAGAGTACCTTGAACGTCGCACAGCGTATCGTGCAGACCGTTGATCGGATTAAGCTGAGAATTTACTATATCGAAGCTCGCTCCAAGAGCTTTAAAATGAACCAAGTTGCCTTGCGAAAAGTTCTGCCATTACGAAGTTATGGCTCAGACAGCGTTTGCCTAGCGTTGGAGTGCTAGCGTACTAGCGTTGACTCGGGTAGCATTCCGCCGTCGCACCGCGTAGAAAGGAAATTCCAGCAAGGAAGGAATTCGCTTGAATCAATTTCACTATATTCAGGTACAAACAGAGAAGGAATAAATAGTTCTAGCTAGCAAGGACCTTGGGAATGAACCTGGGAACAACCAGGGATCATCCCAAATAATTCCAAGCAACAGAACCAACCTGGCTAGACAAAACAGCAGGTAGTAGGTTGGTAAACAACCTCTGGTTCTGTTTTTCCAACCTGGGAAAACAACAACCAGGTTCAGGTCCTAAAAACAGAACCTGTTTCGTCTTTGCCCAACCAGCTAAAAGCTGGTTCCGCTGGTTTCCCCTGGCCCTGTAGCATGCAGATACAGACAAACAACATCCAACCTTCACCTAAATTGTACCCCTATAGTGCCTGCCCTGCTACACTATAGTCAACCAAACAAAACAGTACAATTTCGAGTTGGATAGAACTTAATCTGCACAATCAATTCAACCAAACCGCAAAGCTTTCATCTTGGGTTCCTTTGCGAGCTCGTCCTTTCTGCTTGTACTGTTCATAGCACGTACAATGTTGTGCCGAAGCGCTTAATGCGCGAGTACCTGCAAATGCTTCAAGCAAAAATTGGTAAAGCAAACAAACACACGAACATTCAATTCACACCCAAATGCATTCGCACACGCATGCTCATACAAATAGACGGCAGGATGTCATGCAATATGAATTTGCACCCAACACACTCCTCCTCAGCCTGCCGGCTGCATTTCCATCATTCCGTGCTAGTTCATGCTCATTCCACTCATGCGCACACAACGCCAATGAGGCTCATCTGCAAGCCTCTTGGTGAGGAAGTCTGCTGACTGCTGGTGAGTCTTGATGTAGATCGGATTCACCGTCCCCCTCTTCACCTCCTTACGCAGCCAGTGTCACTTGATACGCATGTGCTTGTTCAGCCCATGAACCACAGCGTTCCTGGCCATCCCAAGAGCCCCCTTGCTATCACAAAACAGCGGCGTAGCAACGTTCTGCTCCTGGCCAATCTCCTCTAACAACCTCCTCAGCCAAATCACCTCCTTCACCCCATGGAACATTGCCATGTACTCTAACTCCACGGAAGAGAGTGCTGTCTCCGTCTGCTTCTTTGACCTCCAACTAACCGGTCCTCCCCCAACTACACAGATGTATCCTTCCACAGATGAGGAGTCCTCCTTCTCAGAGGCCCACGTAGCATCGGTAAAGCAAGTGAGAAAGAGCTTGCCTTCTCCAAGCCTCTCCCCCTTCTCTTTCAGCACCTCAAACCATTTCTGCTTCACCTGTGCAGATGCGGAGTATTGAACTCCAATGCTTGGGTGAGAGTTCAGATACTTCACCACACGCTCAGCTGCATCCACCTGCTTCTCTGATCGATTCTGAACCACCCTAGCTAGCTGCCCAACCGAGAAAGAGATGTCAGGCCTCGTGTGAACAGCTGCATACAAGAGGCTGCCCACCAAGGACTGAAATTGCTGCTGCTCCTCGGCTTCAACCCCTTCATCCTCTGCAGCCTTTACAAGCTTGAATTCTGCTGGCAGGGGAGTTGCAACCTTGCGCTCATTCTCAATCCCATACTTCTCCCCCAGCTTCTTGATGAACTTCTCCTGGTGCAGTTTCAACCACCTGTGATCTGGATCCCTCTCCACGTGCATCCCGAGGTAGTATTTTACCTCCCCAAGGTTCTTGCACTTGAAGTTCTCTATTAGCTGCTGCTGCATTTTCTGGATCTCCTACATGCTGCTGCTAAAGAGAAGAATGTTGTCCACATAGACCAGAAACAACACCAGCTTCTCCCCCTCCCCCTTGAGAAAGAAGCTCTCATCAAGCTGAGAATTTACTATATCGAGGCTCGCTCCAAGAGCTTTAAAAAGAACCAAGTTGCCTCGCGAAAAGTTCTGCCATTACGAAGTTATGGCTTGGACAGCGTTTGCCTAGTGTTGGAGTGCTAGCGTACTAGCGTTGACTCGGGTAGCATTCCGCCGTCGCACCGCGTAGAATCGAAATTCCAGGAAGGGAGGAATTCGTTTGAATCAAATCGACTATATTCAGGTACAACTAGAGAAGGAATAAATAGTTCTAGCTAGCAAGGACCTTGGGAATCAACCTGGGAACAACCAGGGATGATCCCAAATAATTCCAAGCAACAGAACCAACCTGGCTGGACAAAATAGCAGGTGGTAGGTTGGTAAACAACCTATGGTTATGTTTTCCCAACCTGGGAAAACAACAACCAGGTTCAGGTCCTAAAAACAGAACCTGTTTCGTCTTTGCCCAACCACCCAAAAGCTGGTTCCGCTGGTTTCCCCTGGCCCTGTAGCATGCAGATACAGACAAACAACATCCAACCTTCACCTAAATTGTACCCCTATAGTGCCTGCCCTGCTACATTATAGTCAACCAAACAAAACAGTACAATTTCGAGTTGGAT